AATATGTTAATCGAGCACCCACTCTCAAAATTCCCTTTTCATCAATAAATGGATTCAGTTTGCGTAGGAATTTTGGGAGTCCTTTTCGATGTTTGAGTTGAGATATTTTCACGGGAATTCTGAGAGCTTCTTCCATTTCGAACATGAAAATAGGACCTGAGTTTTCAGGACATGATGAATTTTAGCGCGCGAATTTTCAGGAAAATAAACCTGCGGAGATAACAAACTATAAGATGGATTTTTGAGAGAGATGAGTAACGAGTTAAGAGGGACATAATAGAATATTCCTCAACAGTTACCGTCAGAATACTTTGACGTATTTCTTCATCGGGAATATTGGACAGATCACTATCACTGGAGCTGCTAGGCCATTAAGTGCGTGGTAGTCGAAGCCAATGCGACCCCGCCCACCAATGGGAATTATTGACAAGATTACAGGAAAGAATCCCTCGGGAGGCTGGATCAGCGGGATTGTCCTGCGAAGAAACGTGACACCATGCAGAGGGGGGAACCATTTCCTGAATTTGGGAGACACGTTTCGATACAAAAGTGGTATATTTGTGAGGGGAACTACGCAACCACTTGAGAACTACCATGGAGTCAGTGAAAGCTGATGTTCTGAAAACTTCTAACCCATTTTGATATGTCTCTTGAATGAAAGTTAGGAGACCCGACAAGAGGAGAGCTCCACAAAGCTCGAGGCGTGGAATAGAGATGGTTTTCAGCGGTGCTACTCGAGATTTTGCATATAAAAGATGAGTCTTCTGTGTTCTTGCGTTCGTAAGTAAACTACAGCAGCGTAACCCTTTTCTGAGGCATCGCGGAAGCCACAGATTTCAATTGATTCATGAGTTGTGGAAATTACCTGTTGTGGTATCTGGATAGTTAAGACGAGAGGTAATTCTTTCTTGAAACAGTTCCATTGAGCAATTATAGCATCGGGGGGAGGACTATCCCAGTCGATGCCAGCAGTCCACATGGTTTTGATATGCAGAGTTATCGGTGTGAGGAATCCTAAAGGATGATACACTCTAGCCAATTCGGAAAGTATATTTCGTTTTTTCGAACATGGTCTATCTATAGGTTTAACTTGATAAGAGAAAAAATCATGCCTAACATTCCACTGCAATCCCAAAATTTTGAGAGTAGGAACATTCTCGAGATCTAACTAGAGAGAATTAAGCTTTATCATTTCTGAAGGAAGGTGAGATACCAAATGGGGTTCATTACTCGCCCATTTACGGAGTTCAAAACCAGCCTTTTTGAGTACAAGAATTAAATCTGTCTGTAGTTGTGTGGCTTCGGCAATAGAAGAACATCCGGTTACAATATCGTCAACAAAAACATAATTTTTCAGGGATTTACGGACGTTTGGGCATTGAATGCTATACCTGTCAGCAAGTTCTTGTACGTGTACGAATATGGAGAGCTATTGACACCAAAAGTCACCGTGTTTAAGCGGAAATCTTCAATTGGGTCATTTGAGCAGCGTGAGGAAGCGTCAGAAACCACGCGCAGCTTGGTAGTAGAGCTGTCAGGTTTCAATACACAATGATGCGGTATATAATAAGACGAAGGATTCGGAGAAATATCAGAGAGTGGTTCCATAAACTTAGAGTCAAGATAATCTTCCATGAAATCAGAATATTGACTGTAAAGGTTTTAGTCTTTCAAAAGCCTGCTTTCGAGAGAGAAAAGGCGTCTGAGGGCAATATCTCTGGAATCAGGAAATATTGGCAAATCATCCTTGAATGGCAATGAAACGATAAATCGTCCTGAGTTACTACGATCTACAGAAGTTTGGTACAACCTCGCTGCGCGGATTTCATCGGGGGTGAACGCAGGGGCTGAAGGGACCTTTTCCAAATCCCAGAATCTTTTGAGATAATCATCCAAGTGAGAGTCAACGGATATCGTGAAGGAGCAGGTTGGAGGAGATGAGTTGACCTTACCCATTATAATTCACCCAAAAGATGTATCCAATGCAATAGGATTTTCCGATGGATTATCTGAGTCGTGTAGATGAGAAGAACCTTTCAAACCATAGGCAAAAATGTCAGCTCCTCGAAAGATATCAATTGGTTGTGACACATTGAAGGTGGGGTCAGCCAGATATAACTTAGAAAATACAGATAAGGGTCCTTTAGAGAGAAACTGCCCGAAGATTGGAACATATTTGAAGAAGAACCACCAAATCTAGAGTAAATTTGGTTTCAGATTTATTTCTTGGTTTGAGGGTACAAGTTACTTTTTGTGTTGCATGAGTGCTGATTTTCCCAACACCCCGTACATTGATAGAGAGTCGACGACGAGAGAGACCAAGTTTATAGCAACATTTGGTTGAGATGAAGTGAATTTGACTACAGCTATCAAGAAGAATCCTGACAGGTTGGTAAAAGCATTGGCTGTCAAGAACCTCTACAACAGTAGTAGAGAGAAGAACTGTACCAGGAATATCGCTGGCCACGTTAATGGCTGAAGAATTGGTATTCGGACGATAAATATTTTCGAGAATAAGCTGAGGGGGCTGTGTTTCCCGAGAGCTGGTGGGAGCTAAGTTGGGGATATCATTTTGTATGTGGGAAGGATTATTCGGCATAATATGTAGACAACTAAGTTTCACCACTTGACCCTTCACCAGATTGTACCGTTCCTCGGGAGTTTTAGAGAGAAAACTTGGACAATTATAAATTGAAATATCCCTTTGGCAAACCTGGCAGATTAGTTTCTGATTAGAGTTGGTAAAGAATGTTGAAGTAAATTTGAATTTGAAAGATTGAGGTTTGTTTATTGTGGAATTATTTTTTATCAATTGTTCCAGCAGATGATTTTGAATAACTCACAGTATCCAGAGTTGAGCACTGCCTATTCAAAAACATTACCAAAGTATTATAGAATTCCTTACCAGGCAAGTCAGAATGTTCAAGTTCAAACCAAGTCGCCGTCGTGGGATCTAGGCGATCAAACAGCAAATTGATTGGTTAGTGGTAAAACAGTGTGTAGTATACATAGGTATACTGTCTGTATACTCAAGTAATTAGGATGCGTTCAATTAATTGCAATAAAAATAAATGGGGTATTCCATTTGAAAAAATGAAGTTACTCCTAATATCTGAAAAACTGTAAACTTGGCAACATTGCCGATGCCACCATTGAATCGGACATCATCAATAATCACCCTGTAGAAAAGTTCGTGAATTTTTCTCAAGCCGTTCCTGAAATATGAGACGGTTCCGATACTTTTGAAAGACACTGTATATACAATTTTATGATGATTGTTCTTCTGAGCGGAGACAATAGCATTGCTTCTTGTTCAGTTGATATAGATAGAACATGGTATTCACTACTGTAAACTGAACATGAAAATGGTAGATTCAAGATCAATTAATGAAAACATCCCGTAACTCATTTGTAGACTAAAATCACTCATTCATGTGCCAACATCAGTATGACACTGAAAACTGTTAAACTATAAGCAGCACAACTTCCAAAGAGACATATTTTGCATTTTCTTGTTGAGAACGGGAGCAGATTCGGTCCCGAAACGTCCAAAGATAAGTAAAGATTTGATATTTTTTCCTTTCAAACATTTTTTCAAACAAATTGTCACTGACAAGCTACTGGATTTTTCTTTTAGACTCCTTGATAGAAAAATTTGCAGTGACATTTTGGGGCAAATCATCTGATTTCCTCAAGTTTCGTTTAGGTGAAATCAGTTATGAAAAAACTTTTGCTATGGCAACGATCGCCATAGTAATGAGTAAACAAAAATCCGATTCCCGTGGTGAGGAAATGCGTGGTTGCCAAGTTGTATCCGGTTTAGTATAGCTGAAATCAGTTGTGGAAAAACTGTAGTCATGGCAATGATCTTCATGATAACGAGTAAACAAAAACCCGATTCCCGTGGTGAGGAAATGCGTGTTTGCCAAATTGTATCGGGTTTAGTATAGCTGAAATCGATTATGGAAAAACTGATTTCAGCTATACCAAACCCGATACAACTTGGCAACCATGCATTTCCTCACCACAAGGTTTTGTTTTCTGTTTACCTGTTACCATGACAACGGTTGCCATAGCAACAAATTTTTCATAACTAATTTCAGCTAAAGGAAACTTGAACCAAATCAAGTAAAATACACATACATATATTATGTATTATCCTTGGTATTATCTAACATTATTCTCTATCATCATTAAATAACAGATGGGGTTATATATTTCTTATACCATGTCTCCTACTACACCAGGTGTCACAGAATGAACTACCATAAATTCTACAGGGTGAACTGATTACCGAAATAAGCCAATTAAATCATTCCACATTTGACATCTCATATTTGGATTGATTATTGATTAAATGGCCATCATATGGTATGATTGTTTACTCAATATGAAAAACACCATAAAAACCATATTTCCTGTTGAATTTTATATTTAAAAATGTGTCTTTGAAATACATCATAAGTATATAAAGTGTCCAATGACAAAAAAAGAAAAGCAAGTAGCTGTAAATACACCCAAGACAGGGGGAAGAAGGCAAAATTTTGAACTTTTTTTGAAATATCTTGATAACTAGTGGTTTGCTAACATTTTCATTATGGAATTCCTGTTTTTCAGACAAAAATGCATAGGTAACAAAATAAATTTTTGAAAAAAACCCATCACATGATGAGTGCAAAATTACCTGAAGTATTCAAGTAAATCTGCAAATAAACTTAATCGTTGATTTCAATCAGGCTAATATGGTCTCTAGTTCAACCTGTAGAATTTATGGTACTCTGATCTGGGACACCTTGTATAACCAACATAAGCAGAGAACAGCACTATTTAAGGGACCACTAGGCTGCTATAGAAACCCTGTATTGTATCTCCCTTATTACTAGGAGAGGAGTGATAGTGGTCAGAGTATTTTTGGAATACCTAGGTGTGTTTTCATTTACTGCAGGTTTATGTTGTTACTCCTGTTGTGTCACTACTAGAAGTAACCTCTAAATACTCACACTTTGAATGTTTGATTATCTCCAGAAGTGTTCTTATAGCAGCTACTCCTACAGAAACATCTTCATCTTCCTTTATAATCTTGCAGAAGTACTGGCGAACTTCTGGATAAGTATAAAATGTTAAGAACCTTCCCAAGATGTCTTGTAACAACATAACTTACTTTCACCTTCCATTATTTATACGATTATGCTAATATTTTTGAGTGAATCAGTTGATTTAAAAATTAATGGTTCCTTATACTGGAAGGTGTGGAATCTTCCAGCACTTCCCTGTTCACTATTTTCAAGAAATTCAAAATTTAAGTTATCCAGTTGAAATCCTACACCATACATAAACATAACCTAAAAAGAACAGCTGATCGAACTGATGGTTTATGTCAAGGTCAGGTCAGGAAGTGCGTACAGGTACAACCGTCGTATATTTAACAGGGATTCAGACAAGCTTCGCTCTTCAAACTTCTAAATTCTCCAGAAACGGTGAACTTCTTCAGTGAACCCATTCGATAATAATTATTACTGTTGGTTGTTGCGGTTGTAGATCCGGACACGACAGTCGTAGTTGTTTGCCCCCTTTGGAGGTTTATATGACTTTGGAGGTTTATATGTATCTCCGACTTCTATTTATTAAATGAAACTGTATGCCAAATATTTTATGACAATTTCTTTATTATCCGTCAAACAACTGAACTCTAAACTTCTAAACAAACGTTTACATGTTTTTCCCAAGTGGGAGTGCTTTATATAGTTTCAACATATATAGCGGGTGATCGCTACACCCCCCAATACAACCTGTATAATTGCGACTGCATCTATATATTCGTAATTCAACGTACAATAATTTACCTTTACCTACTCTACTAGCAATATGTAATGTGAAACATTACGACACTGATTTTAGTATCGTAATGGGATACTTCACCACACTAGTGCGGTAAAATGTTACTCCAGCGCAATAGTGCGGTAAAGTGAAAAAAATATAATTTCAAATTTGATTTTGTTTTATTCGCCACAATTTCTATACCGAAATCTGAACTCTCCTGATCCGAATTCATGCCAATGATTTTTTTTCGAATTGACATCAACACTTCAAAGTTGACAGTTCGCCGAATGAGTGACAACCGAGAACACAATAGATTCACGACGACCATACGCCCAACCCTTGCAACGCTTGCTTTTGTTACATATTTCTAATGAATCGTCATCAGTTCAAGGAATAATGAATATTTTTGATTAAATAATTACCTTTTTGGTAGTAGGTAAAATATTGTACCATATTTTCGTATCGTAAACTCATATGACGATAATCGATGAGTTATCAAACTTTCCCATCTCATATCCTAATATGAGTCTTTTATGATACAGTGCAGACTCGATAATCCGAACTAATAAAAACCAAGGCAATTCGGATTACCAAAAAATTCGGATTACCGAAGCAGTTTTTGTTTTAAATTTTTTATTACGAAATGCAAAAAAAAAACATAAATACGAAAAAGTAACACTAAAATATGCATAAAAGTAAGAATATAATACTAGTTTCTAAAGTAATTTGTAATTTTTGTTTGCTTAACACATCTTTGATTATTTATAAAGGCCATTTCTTTTAATCTTCGAAGTACAAGAATATCATTTAACGGAATATAATTTTCTTATTCCTTGCGTAATTTGAATCCCAGATACTAACAAAAGAACAATTAGGGGAATCCCTGAACATTTCACTCACAATTTCTATTGGAAATAAATAGGCCTAAAGGTATAGGTTCGAATTATCGAGTACTATGAAATTCGGATTATAGAGTTAGAGTACTCAATGTATCAAAAATACTTGTTCGGACTACTGAAGAATTCGGATTATTGAACGTTCGGATTATTGAGTCTGCACTGTACTCGTATCGTAAATATCTATAATATATCAATGCTTATCCGCACCTATAGGGTGAATTAGAAAAAAGCCTATCCGTTAGCAAATGTAGTTATGGGAATTAATTCACGTACGGATAGCATCAGTGGGATAGCATTCATGGTGTTTGTTCGCACGTAAACGTACGGATAAAGTGCCTTATGACTATTTGTTTGTATTCGGTATGTACGCACTGCGTGCTAATAGACACTCCCTCAAAAACCAAAGAATGGTGTCCTAAACCAAAACATAAACACTCAAACAGTCAGAAAACCAAGAAAAATAAAATAATAATAATAAGAGGAACAATGAGTAAATTTTTAAAATTTTAACTTTATAGTTTATATATTATTCCTGGATAATTATTGAGCATGGATTGTACAAAACGACGTCGAGTCACTGTGAAATTCAAATCTGCTAATCCCTTATTTGAGCAATGGCTAGCAGAATGGGAGGAAAAAGCAAAAATCAAGGGTTCAAAATCACATCATACCTTCCAAAAAGCATTAACCTATTTGAGAAAATGCCCAATACCTCTAAATTCTGGAAAAGAATGTTTGATTCTGAAAGGATTTGGTGAAAAATTATGTCAAATGCTGGACAGAAAGTTACAAGAACACTCAACATCCACAAATGTTGACAATGATGTTCACCCAATTATTTCAAATAAAGATGATTCGAACAGAAGTAAAACTCAAGGATTACCGGAAAATACTGCTGGAACAGGACTATCAATTGTAAGGAGGAAGGGAGAAAATAAGGAAAGTAGTTCTAGTTCTTGTGAATCTGATGGTAGTTTGGTTGACTACATGCCAATACCCAGAACAGGTGAATATGCTATACTCTTAGCACTGTATAAAAAACATATGCAACCAAACTATCCAGGATATTCTACAAAACAAGAAATAATTTCTGAAGCAATACAATTCTCAGATATTTCTTTCACAAAACTTGAAGGTAAAAGGACAGCTTGGTTTGCAAGGAAAACACTTATTTCCAGGAAGTTATTGACAGAGAAGAGCAAACCTCTAAAATATTCCCTAACTGATTCAGGGATTTCATTAGCAAAAAAACTGTATGATGAGAATTATTCAAATGCTAATAATAATAAAGAAAGTTTGGATGAAAATCCATTGAGGACCATTGAGTTAGGTAACATTCAAACTTGGTGTCAAGCTCAGAGTTCCCTTCATAATGATGAAATCTCAGATGAAATAATAATTTTTGATGGTGTTCCACCAGAGGTTGGAAGCTCAATTGGAAGTGTTTTTTCAGCAGCACCACTTTTATCAAAACAGAGTGACTCTGTTTCAAAGCTAATTTCAAAAAAAGGTTTACCTTCACAAAAAAGTATTACAAAACATCCTTCTACCAGTTCCACTACATCCACAAAAAGTCAGTCTCAGGAAGAATGTGTCATCTTTCAACCTGGAAGTTATGATATCATTTTATATGTTGATACTGCTGAGACAACTGGGTAAGTCAAATTTCGTCAAATTTGTTCCATCATATTTGAATTTGTTTAAATTTATGTGGGTAGAGAGATGCTCAGAGAGATGGGTAAAAAAAATTCGTAAAATTTGTATATCACTACTTCAAAGTTGGGAACCAACTCCCCAGAAGTCAAAACTCGTGCAGGTTATGAAGAGCTGGACCTGCAATTTATAGTGGAATTGGAACCACTTCTAGGGCAGCAAGGTGCTGCCAGGATTTTTTTTTATATTTTATTCAGTATCTCAGGTACATAGTTAACATTTCTCAATTTCATTATAATAGTTCATGTTATTACCTAACTATATTAAATATTATCAGCACATTGGATTTTGAAATCTGTGTGTGCTGATTATTAATCAACCCATAATCAACCCTATTTTAAAAAACTATAGATACTTTTAGTTACAAACTGTAATGTACCTAATAATATTGATAATACTCAAAAGTACTTGCAAACAATGTGTAAATCAAATAAATAGTCTACTCATTTTAGTTAGAGTTTACAATAGGTAGGTATATTGGCTCTCAATTATCCAGTCATAGATTTGCTTTTTAACCTTTTTATATGGTTGACCTCTTAGTACCTTGGATAGTGCATTATATACTCTAGTGCCAATGAAACCAATATGTCTCTTAGCTAGGGTTGGAATAAGTCATGACTTTTATAGAAAAGTCATCAAAGTCCGACTTTTTGAATTAAGGCAGACTTTTTTGAATTAATTCATTTGAAAAAAAAACAAACAAATTTCATTTACCCAAAGCAAAATAGAAAAAAAGAAACAAAAAAACTATGTTTTTATTCCCTTCAGAAATCTTGTAGAATAACATCATAATATAACATGTCTTTTTTTCGAAACAAAATTAAAAGTGATGATAGAATACAAAATAATAGATACATATAGATCCAGTATCATTCATAAAACATGGAGAAAAAGTTTATTAGTAGAATAAAACATTTTTTCTTGGGGATCTATTATGCATGTCTGACTACTTAAAAGTCAATTTTGACACATGTCACTTGATCACTGGTATGGCGGTAAATTCAGAAAATTACGATGGCAAAAGGTGGGGTTAGATTGGAAGATGAAGTTATTTAAAAAAAATAAAAATAGCTATTTTCAGTTTTCTCAAATAATGGCTGGAAACTCCATATGTGAGCATGAAATTGAATTCTATTCAACTTGTACATCATCAACATCACTACTGTCAGAAAAAAAAGAGAATTGTGACAAAATAATTGTGACAAAATTGAAGAATATTTGAAAAAATATAGCTATTTCCAATTCTCCTCCAAAAATTGCTGGAAACTGAATGTGGAATAGCAACTTAATAAAAAATGTTTATGGATATTTTGATATCTAACCCCACTTTTCGTGGCTTTATAGTATTATTTTTATTTATCACTATACCAGTGATCATGTGACATGTCAAAATCGATTTTCAAGTTATCGGATATGTATAATGGATCGCTGAGGAAAATGCTGTGATAATAATCCTGTTCTCATATGTTATGGACTTTATGGATGATACTAGATACTGTATATATCTGTTAGTAAAAATCTCTGTCATGCTTGAAATAACAAAGTCTTGCCAAAATACGATCGAATTTTTCAGTTAGAACTAGTTAAAATCAAAGGTGCTAGTGCAATTTGTCTCATTTTTAAAAATTTGAATGAATTCATGACTTTTTTGAAAAAAGTCAATGGAATTAATTCATGAATTAAATCACTGATTTAATTCATATGAATTAATTCATGCCAACCCTGCTCTTAGCTGATACATGTCTATGTCTCACAGAACTTAAGCCTAAGTTATTATTTATTGCACTTCTAGTATACAACTCATGTCCTATTTTAATTTTGTAGTCTTGATTGGTTAACGTGAATCTTATAATATATTGTTACGACCCTGGCGATCAATCCCAGTTACCTGCTACGGAAGTAAATAAACCTTATTTCTTGGAATAGAAATGAAGTGGATCGACGGCTATTGAGATGACTCGAGAAGATTATCGACCTGTTCACGATATTTCGAGTGGAATCTAGACGTTTTATTAGGTAGTATAAATAGTTGTTGTTAGGGACAGAAAGGGAAGTCTTTATTTGGAAGCGTTATAATAACGATCGAAGAAGTGTTGTGAATCGGAAGTGTTTAGTACGAGTATTGTAATTATTGTATAGTAGTGTTCAGAATAAATCGTTTCAAGTGTTCTATCGAGTGTTAAGTTATTACGGACCCAGAGTAAAATCGTAACAGTGGTGTCAGAAGTGTGGATTTTCGAGGACATTTGAATACGTATGGTGAATACAAGGAGTACGTCATACGACACGATGGAAGACATTATAAAATTCATGAAAAATCAGTTCGCAGTACTAGAGAAACGACGACAGGAAGATGAGAAACGACGACAGGAAGGAAAACTAGAAGAAGAAAAACGTCGTCAAGAAGAGTTACAGAAAATTCTAGAACATCAAGAAAAAGAACGAGAACATCAAGAAAAAGAACGAGAACATCAGAAAATCTTCTTCGAACAAATTCTGCATAAAACTGATAAGCAAATGGATGAGTTGAAGACAGATGTCACCAGAATTGATGACAAGCTTAACCAGGAAGTTTCAAGAATAGATTCCATGCTCGATGCAATCGAAAGAAATGTAGCGAATCAGATCACCTCGCTACGAAGTCAAGATCGCCGTGACAGAGTTGAAACATCGGGTTCTTCCGTGAAACCACCAACTTTTGATGGACAGTCGCCTTGGTCTATGTATCGCCGACAATTTGAGGCTGCAGCAAGTGCAAATGGGTGGAGTGACGAGGAAAAAGCTACTGCACTCATAGTAGCTCCGAGAGGACCAGCTTTGGGGATGTTACAGTCGATCCCAGTTGAACAACAAAACCACTTCGGAGATTTAGTGGCTGCGCTAGAACTCAGGTATGGTGACCAACATCGAGAACAGCTTTACCGGTCTCAGATGAAGAATCGTGTGCAGAAGTCTGGAGAGAGCCTACAGGAGTTCGAAGCAGATGTGAGAAGACTGACTCAATTAGCCTACCCAGAGGCACCAGAGGACTTCAAAGAACAACTGGCGGTGCAGGTATTCATCGACGGGCTGAGAGACTCAGAAATACAGAAGACTCTGAGGCTTACACACTTTAAGAGGAGTGGTGAAGCCCTAGTAAGATCTCTGGAGGTAGAAGCGGCCTTCAACACCTCTAGGCCAAAAGTGAGAGCTGTGTCCATCGAGGAGCCTTCCGAAGACGTGGACCCAGTGGCGAAAATGTTGAGAAAAGTGCTTGAGGAACTCAAAGAAATTAAGAGTGGGTCTAGTAACCAGCGAAATAGATCCTGCTATCGCTGCGGCAGAACTGGACACCTGATAAGGGACTGTAAGGTGAGAGTACCACCACGATCTTCTTCACCTGCAAGGACGCCATCACGGTCGTACTCACCTGCGAGGACTAGGTCATCTAGTGAGTCCTCAGATAGATACCAGTATCACTTCAAGATTAAGCATCGCCCAGGAAAACTACACCAGAATGCAGATGCCATGTCCAGAAGACCTTGTTCGGAAACCTGTAAGCATTGTCTGCGCATTGAACATCGAGAAGGAACCGCTGATGTTAGAAAAACCAGACTTGTGACCGATGATAAGTGGACAGCAGCACACATGAGACGAGATCAGGAGAACGATCCGAATATCGCCGATTTTCTACGTCGGAAAGAAAGAGGAACAGAAAGACCGACATGGAAGGATATCTCGGATAGAGGGCCTGCTTTCAAGGCGATGTGGGCACAATGGGACTCACTAGTTGTGGAGAATGGATTATTGAAGCGAGTTTGGGAATCAGCTGATGGTAGATCAACAATTTCTCAGCTGGTTGTGCCCCACATCAGAGTTAATGAAGTTCTGGAAGAAGTCCATGGCGGAAAATCTGGTGGACATTTTGGAGTTAACAAGACATTGAGTAAAATTCGAGAAAGATTTTACTGGGTTCAATGTCGTGACGACGTGGAAAGTTGGTGTAGAAGATGTCCTGTATGCGAAGCCAGTAAAGGTCCCAGAACGAGATCAAGAGCTGGAATGAAGCAATACAATGTGGGTGCACCGTTTGAAAGGATCGCCATCGATGTAGCCGGACCATTCCCTTTGACTGATGATGGAAATAAATACATCTTGGTTGCTATGGACTACTTCAGTAAGTGGGTAGAAGCATACGGCATGCCAAACCAAGAAGCCTCCACAGTTGCCAGGATATTGGTCGACAACATGTTTTCACGGTTCGGAGTACCAATGGAATTACATTCTGATCAAGGGAGAAATTTTGAGTCGAACTTATTCAAAAAGGTCTGTGATCTAATGGGAATCAGTAAGACGAGAACAACTCCACTACATCCACAATCCGATGGCATGGTCGAAAGATTCAACCGAACTATGGAAGAACATCTTTCCAAAGTAGTCGAAGAGCATCAGAGGGACTGAGACAGGCATCTTCCCTTATTCCTGATGGCGTATAGAGCAGCTGTCCATGATTCAACGAAGCTAACTCCAGCTAGTATAGTCTTTGGAAGAGAACTCCGCTTACCTTGTGACTTGGTGTTCGGTTCACCAAGTGTTGAAGAAAAGGAAGTACAAGACTACGCAGATGAGCTCCGGAATGGCTTGATGAAAACTCATGAGACTGCTCGGAAAGGATTGAAATTAGCAAGTGACAAAATGAAGGCACGGTACGATCTCAAAGCCAATTCAGAGGGATTCTTTGAAGGAGATCGAGTTTGGCTGTATAATCCTCGACGGAAGAAAGGCGTATCACCCAAATTAACACCATCTTGGGAAGGACCGTATAAGGTGTTGAAAAGGATCAATGATGTGGTCTATAGAATCCAACGCAGCCCTAGGACAAAGATGAAAGTCGTTCATCTTGAAAGACTGAAGCCTTATCATGGTGAGGAAAGTTCTGTTTTTGATCGGGACGATCAAATTT